CTAGATTGTATGATAGGTTTCAACAGATACCCTATGACAAATTCGTGAAGTTAAAGAGAAATGGGTGTGTCGAGTTATATTCTCTCTACCGAAGGACGATTAGGGGTTGATTTTTCTCATTCCAGTGTGCACCATCGAATATGGTGCACGCACTCAAGACTCAAGAACCAGGCTTTCTCGGGCGCTTGCAGCTGATATCACCCCGAAAAGCGAACAAGGATAAAATTAATAATTTCACAAGGTTAAAACGGCTATTGAATTTGAAAACTTGAAAGTGTACGACGGAAAGAGGGGAGGTGCTCTGGCCCACAAGGTTCACGTATGTTTTCAAATTGTATACGACTCTGTCTAATGGGAATTAGCGTGTTTCTTTAAACTGAAAAAACCATTGGATAAACACAGTGTCCTAACGTACGGATTATTAAGCACATGTCAATTTTGCGTTTGATGGTTCAGATAATGAACACCTTTCACCACATCACACTTCAAATGTCCCCTCGTGCTCCCCTACATATCCAAACTCATCTCACCACAGAAAGAGATTGTAGTTGATAGCAACTTACTTGACGCCCTTAGCACCCGTAAACGCTACACAGACATGCTCACACTACACGACCAGTTGGTGTACTTGCCTAAAGGACCCATACCACCCCAAGTACTGCTGAACTGTGTGTTCCCAGTGCCACGGTTCATGACCACAATAGTACACACTCTCCTCGTAGACTCAGAACACCCACAGAACGATTATACTTGGCCTTCGCTAGAACGCAGACGTCGTTTCGAACAAGCCCACAGAACACTGTGGCTAGATAACCCGCAAATGGACTTCAACACACTACATCCAGAGGCTATCGCCTATATAGCGGCGCCCCAGCACTGGACACGCAAACTCCCGAACCACCACATACACCCCCTGTTCGACATTGACCAGGACTTAGACAATGATATCCCAATAGACATTACACTATCCTACATATGTGGTAGCGTGACTCCGCCTGACTTGATCAGACGCTGGCGAATATGCCTGCGACAAATATGCATTGACCTGATGTTGAATAGCACATATATCAACGAACACAGCGCGATGAAACGCCCCCCGTCCCGCCCTCACCCTCCCTGAATGCCTACCGA